AAATTTGTTGCTTCAATTTCTTAATGTTCTGTGAATTTGAGGAGGTTAAGATCATAGTAGTACACTTCTCTTAATCTCTTGAAAGGCCTATTTTATCAGATTTTCTAATCTTAGTATATCTGTCTTTTAGAGTAGATGATAGCTATAAATGCCAGTGAAAAAGCAGTTAAGATTATCAACGAGGGGCAATAATTTTGGGTGTCTCTGAAGTCAAGTATGTTACACAAATTTGTGTTTCAGGCAAAAAAGTGATGAAAAATCCTTTCCTGGTCTTATATCCGTAGGTCCTGAAGCAAAAGTTTGAATCTGATTTTGTTTATGCTAGACAAGAGTATTGTTACAGGGTAACACAGATGTCAGCGGCTTCAGTGTTTTATTCCTAAGTGGATATGAAGTAAAACTGCAGTTTAGGACTAATGTGGCACACTGTCAGGCAACACTGCTAACTGGTTAAAACTTGGAAAAAGCTAAGTAAGTACTGGAGAATGAAATGTATTTTCTGTATTTTTCACCGAATTGTGTGTCCTTACTTTCAATTAACACAAAACTAAAACCAACTTTAGTATCTTGTTTTTAATCATCAGTATAAACAGTTCTTCAGTTTCTTACACTTCTTAGCCTCTTAATTTCAGTATCTATGTATCTATCTATCACTATGTCTGTTTATTTACAACTTTAGCCTTTAGATTATTTTTGTAATGTTGGTCTCATTAGTTTATGAGGGCCTAACCACAGGACAGTGTGACAAGAGCAGAAAGTAGGGTTAGGTCTTTACAAAATAACAGTTGCTGCTTGAACCACACAGGTTTGAACTGTGAGGGTCCACTTACACTCTGATGTTTTTCAGTAGCAAATACGAGAGTACTACATGGTCTGAGGTTGGCTGAATCTGCGGGTATGGAAGGCTGGCTGTAAGTCATATGCAGATTTTCCACTGCATGGTGGGTGGGCACCCCAGCCTGTGTGTTATTCAAGGATCAACTGTAGTCTGATTCTTGTTCATTTCTGAGTCTGAAAATGCTTAATTTTGATCAGAAATTTGAAAATGATGACAACTGGAATTTCTGAGCATATCTTAAACTACATAAATATTACCAGTGACAACTGAAAGCAACCTACAAACTTTATGTGCTCCTTATCAAATTACCCAAGACATTTTTCACAGAACTAGAACAAATAATCCTAAAATTCTTATAGAATCACAAAGACCCAGAATTGCCAAAGTAATACCGAGGAAAAAGAATGAAGCTGGAGGAATAACCCTCCCAGACTTCAGACAATATTAAAGAGCTACAGTAATTAAAATAGCATGGTACTGGCACATAAAGAGACACTTGGATCAATGGAACAAAATAGACAGCCTACAAATAAACCCACACACCTACACACCTGTCAATTAATCTTTGACAAAGGAGGCAGAGCATACAATGGAGAAAAGAGAGTTTTTTCAGCAAGTGGTGGTGGAAAGACTGCAGAGATGCATGTAAAAATTAATGAAGTGAGAACACCCCATTCACCATACACAAAATAAATTCAAAATGGCATAAAGACTTAAGTATAAGATAGGATACCATAAATCTCCTAGAAGAGAACATAGGCAAAACATTCTCTGACACAAATCACAGCAATGTTCTCTTAGGTCAGTATAACAAGGCACAAGAAATAAAAGCAAAAGTAAACAAACGGGACCTAATTAAACTTGTAAGCTTTTGCATAGCAAAGGAAACCATAAACAAAATGAAAAGACAACCTACTGACTGGGAGAAAGTATTTGCAAACGATGCAACTGACAAGCGCTTAATTTCCAGAATATACAAGCTCATACAACTCAATAACAAAAAAACAAACAACCGAATCCAAAAACGGCAGAAGACCTAAATAGACATTTCTCCAATGAAGACATAGAGATGGCCAATAGGCATATGAAAAGATGCTCAATATCACTAATTATCAGAGAAATGCAAATCAAAACTACAATGAGGTATCACCTCACACGAGTCAGACTGGCCATCATTCAAAAGTCCACAAAGAATAAATGCTGGAGAGGGTGTGGAGAAAAAGGAAAGGAACCCTCCTACATTGTTGGTGGGAATGTAATTTGGTGCAGCCATTACGGAAAACATGGAGATTCCTTAAAAAACTAAAAATAGACTTACCATATGATCCAGAAATCCCAGTCCTGGGCATATAACAAAAGGATGCTCTAATTTGAAAAGACACCTGTTCATAGAAGCACTATATATGATAGCCAAGATATGGAAGCAACCTAAATGTCCACTGACAGATGACTGAATGAAAAAGTTGTGGTACACACATGTAAACACACACACACACACACACACACACACACACACAGTGGAATACTACTCAGCCATAAAAATAATGCCATTTGCAGCAACATGGATGAACCTAGAGATTATCATACTAAGTGACATAAGTCAGACAGAGAAAGACAAATATCATACAATAACACTTCTATGTGGAATTAAAAAAGTGATATAAATAAACTTATTTACAAAACAGAAATAGACTTACACACAGAAACAAACCTATGGTTACCAAAGGGGAAAGTGAGGGAGGGGTAAATTGGGATTTAAGAGATTAGCAGATACAAACTACTATATATAAAATAAACAAGTTACTGTATAGCACAAGGAACTATATTCAATACCTTATAATAACCTATAATGAAAAAGAATATGTATATATGTATAATAAATCACTATGCTGTACACCAGAAACTAACACAACACTGAAAATCAACTATACTTCAATTAAAAAAATTACCAGTAACAAAGAATATAGGCTTATATTACATTTAATAGTGTTAATTATGAAGACATTTCAAACTTCTTTGAAGGATAACCTTACAAGTGAAGTAGAAACCAGTACAAATTTTGGTTAGCTTGTTAGGAAGCAAAATGCTCTAAGAAATGTTCTGAACATTATTTTCATTATTAAAGTGAGGATAATTTTTATAGTTGTTTGAGGTGCTGTAGGATGTCTACTGATATTCCCAGCTGTTTTACCAAACTGGCTGTCTGTTCTAAAATCCAAGTGAGGCTTGGGTTTTCAGAATGTGCATGCTCCTGTGAACTACAACATTCTAAAGATGAAGAATCTACCCTTGTAAGACTCTTGCTACAGTTTTTGTTAAACTCAGCATTATTTTCACAGAGTCTTTCGTCTTTGGCTTCATCAATCTTTTCCTCAGCTGGAGCTACATGACAAAGGTCCATATCCTGAATAGAGTCCAATAAATCTACAACATGGGGCTGTGAAGTGATTGATTTCAGATGTCTGAGTACACACTCTTCACACTGGCCAACTGCATCCAGAAGCTTATTTATTTTACTGATCAAAGCCGAACTATTATCATGAAGGTGACACCAGGAAAGCAAAGCACTGAACAAAAATATAAACAAGAGTTAAACAGGAAAAAAACCTAAACAAAGGCTTTTAAAATTTTTGATGCTAAGGCATACAGGTTTCTCTTCCAGATAACACCAAACAAAAATTATTAATAATAATGCAAGTCACAATCATGAAAGTAATGATAGCAAAACTAGCATTAAAAATATAAGGGAATTATCTTTGAATAGGAATTAATCAACTAGACTTAATCACATAAACTGCTTATTATTCATAACCCCTCCTTCATAGTTCCACATCCACATTTCCTGGTTTTAGATATTCCCCTTATGACCGTGCAGCTTCTGTTGAAGAGGGAAACAACTCACAGAAAAGAAAGGTCAGAAAACTTAGTTTCTCCTTTAAGGACATCAACCAGCTTCTAAATTAGTGATTCTCAATTTTAGATGCACATTAGAATCACTGGGAGACTTTTAAACTTATCAAGGCCCAGGTCACACCCGAGACCAGTTAAATCAGCATCTCTGGGGCTATTATTTTTTAAAGCTTCCCGCCGATAACCAGGTGCAGCCAAGGCTGAAAACCATTGTTCTAACCCTGTAGCTGCTTGCCATCAAAATTGGTGATTATGAAAAAAAAGTTTTGAGACAACTTCTCTTTTCCAACTTTGTTATAGAGCAGACATTTTGCTGAGCTAACTAACAATTTTCCTGAAGGTTAGAATTCTTCTAGTCCTAATAAACATTTTTCTTTACTTTTGTATTATAGACAGTCCTTTTGTTTTTTGACATTTTGGATTGTTCAGATAATTATGTCATGAAATAATGGTTGTTGTGAAAAGTAATGATGTTTTTAAAAATGGAATCAATTGAGATAAGATTTAGCAATAAGCTTTCTAAGATTCTAAGAGTCATTTTTAACTTGATGTGAAGATGAACATGTGATCATCTTCCTACTGCAGTACACTGCAGATGCTGATTCCTGATGGTTGAATTTTCTAATACCTAAAATACAATGAATTTTTGTTCTGATACCTTTTGTTTTATACCTTTAAAAATCAGCAATTCTTTGAAGCATTTTATGTTTTTCTCTACAGGGGGCAGTTTAAAAGGTACAAAGCATCAAAGAGGATCAGCCTGTCATGCTCCTAGCTCCACGTGCCATTTGATCACTTGGCTCTGATACATGCCATTGTTGACATGGACTCTTCACAGATATTCGAAGTTCAGGACTAAAATAAATGGAATCATTTTTCTATTACCAGCTATAATTTTCATCATGTACTTCTGGTCTATGTGTCCGTTATATTGTGTTCTGCCACATGTGCAAGACTAAAAGTTTGACTCAAAACCTGGAGATCTTTTTAATAACTTTTAAATACAGATTGGTGATAGTTCAGGTAGCAAAAAATATACACATTCCTATCATTTCTTTGCAATGAAGACAAGACATGGCTCACTTATTAAAGTGGACAAACTTTTTACTTTTTGAAGGCAACATTATTCTATGCTCTGCAGCATTCTTTTGTGGATTTAACACTAGGGAAAGCACTTCTGTTTAAACAATTTATTTCTACTTATTAGTCTTATAAAAGTCCTCTAGTAGTATTAAGGTTAAAATGATTCAGCATTTAAGTTTTCAAAATTACCTTAATGTTCCTCTGAGTTGTCCATAGTTTATGATGACTTCTGCACCTTCCTTATAACCTTGATTGAAGCCTTGTTGAAGAGTGACTGCTTTGCCAGCATCTATTCCATCTCTATAACCTTCCTAAAAATGAGAAAGTAATGAAGAATCGCAGCTGTAACTAATACCAAGTAAACCACTGTAGGTTCTTCTAGAAAAGTCGTAGAACCAATTTAGAAAACTGATGAAAACAGGTCTTTACTGTATTATTTACCATCATGGTTTAACACATGGTATAACCACACAACCAAAGTAGACTATGCTTCTAATAGAAAGTTTATTATTGGTTTATCCCGTTTTTGAAGTCCAGACTTATTGGGTACATTTTCAAACACTGATTCTATATAGTTTTAAAAAGCCTTGTGTTAGCAATAGCGCCACAAAAAGGAAACATGGAGAATTAGGTGTCTGGTCTCTTAGCAACTGGACTGGTGTGGGTTGATGAGGCAGGGCCCTAAGCAGGGTTACCATGGTCTTGGAAGTGAGGCAGGGAAAGTGAAAATTGGTTTAGCAAAAGGAAGATGAGAGGTCTGATTTTAGAAATTTTGCTTGATATCTAAATTCAAGTAAACAGCACGTTCTCTGTGGGCAGGTATTTTGCTCTGTCACAGCACTCAAAAGATGCTCAGTACTTACTGGGTCTAGCCTTAGCCTCAGGTAAAGCATTTCTGAAACTGACAACGTGGTTATTGTGTTAAGTAAATATTATTTCACTGAAATATTAAACAACGGCAGATTTAGTGGTAATTTAGTGGTTGGCAAGGGTATCAGGTGAAATGGACCTCACCTTGAACTAAGCTCTGACTGCACCACCTGGAAAACTGGGTGTATGATATTAAGCTGGGTCTCAATGAATAAATGGTGAGACGAATTACAAATGGATAATTCACAGCCAATAAATTTAAAAAAATCCTATATGACTGAAAAATTGACACAACATTGTAAACTGACTATACTTCAATAAAAACAGATTTAAAAAATTAATATTCCTTTACCTAGCCGCCAGTATTCTATCTTAGCTTTCCCTTATTGCCCTTCGACAACATTCTTAAGCTCACTTTTTCCATATGAACTGATTAAGTCCATTCCTAACTTTATTCAAGCTCCCCACCTATTCAAGCAATCCATGTAAACTGCGCCAATGTCCTTTGACAGTCGTAATTAGTACAGTCACTCTATACGTTTCTCCTCCAACCCCTTCCCTGTGCTCCGCATCAAACTACAATCTCTTCAAAGCCCAGACAAAGTTTATTCTGGTCTGTCCCCGGCGTCTAAAGCACTCCGCGGGTGACTGAGGAATGTGTCCTATGGTGTTACACAATTTCAAGCAACCCGCTGCGAAACCCTGGAAGGATGCGGCCCGGACGGAGTGGCAAGGGGCAGGGAGGGCAGCGTCGGGCCACGCCGGGACCACTCCGGCCTCCGCTCTTAGGACCACGCTTCTTCACAATTTCGCGCTCCTCTTTCCACAACCCGCCACAGCAAGGGACCCCAGCCCCCTCCACGCAGCTTTACTTTGATTCGTCTCTGCATGTGGCTCCGCCATTCTCGCTGCACCAAGAGCGACTCGTCCGCTTCCTCGTCAAACACGTCCCCCTCCTCAGCAAGACCCCGGACCAAAGCAGAAGCTTGAACCCACGACATCACCGAGGCAACCACGGGGCCGCCGTGCGCCGGAAGCGCCGGCAACTCCTTCCGGTCTAAGGGGCGGGGCGAAGGCTGAGGGCCGGGGCTCGCGGGACGAATGCGCGTGCGCTTGGGTGTGCGCGGCGGCGGGACATTGGGAGGGGAATTGCAGGTGGGTCTCGGCTCTGGCCAGAGCTTTTCGCTCACTGGTGACTTGGAGGCTTCCTCACTTGACTCAGTGTGGGCGAGCGCTTGCTGTGGGCGAGGCGGACTCCTCCCGCGTGGGGCTGGTCCGACCTTGACCTCTGCGGAAGGCAGCGCCGACCCTCAGTGAAACACTGTCTGTTCCCGCCATGGTCTCTTCAGTGATCTGGGATTTGGAGACGCGCACGTTGGCGAAAGCTTTCGAGATAGTTGGGTTGAGGGACTCCGTCTGTTTTAGAACCTCCCTCAGTGCATTTAAGGGATTGACAGACCGCCTTTTTTTAATTGTTAGGAGCGTGGAGCAAAGGACAGTAAGATCAAAAGCTTAAATCCTGCAGCCACTGTGAGATCACTAAATATAGGTTACATTAGTATAAAGTGAAATACATTTCTTATTGATTCACAGTGTCCTTCACCGACTCCCAATGCCTCTCAAATGCTAGGAAAGCAGACCATTGCTCAGGGAGGATCGGGGCTTGTTTATCTATATGTAGTGAGCGCCAGCACTGTTCTGCCCCGTAGTAGATGTTGAAACAGATGTTAGTGAATGAATGGAGACTAGCAGTATTCCTGTTTTGCCCTTTGTTTGCCTGGTCATGTGGTAATGATTCATTTAGCTAGCATATTTTCTTGAATGCCTACCTTGTGCCAGGCACCGCTGTAGGCTTTTGGAATGCATAAGTGAACGACACAGACATAAGTCCCAGACCTGGTAGACTTTATATTCATATAGAATTGACAGAGGGTAAACAGTAAGCACTATATAAGTAAATTATAACAAACTGAGAGCCATAAGTATATGTGGGAGTGAGGGCGGGTCCGTGGTACACGTTATAATTTTAAGTGCTGAGGGAATTTTCTTTGCATTTTTTTGTATATATGAAAAAAATATGATATACCTCGTATGTAAAAAACATTTCATACGTCGCCACAAAAAAAAATCCTTAATAAGCTAAAAAGAGCGATATTTTTGGTGGGGGAATGTAATTAGTTTTATTGTCTTAATGGAGGCACTGAGGATTGAACCCAGGACCTCATGCATGCTAGGCAGGTGCTATACGGCTGAGCTATACTCCCCCCTACCAAGAACAGAGATTTTTACAGGTCATATTTTCTGATCATAATCCAACAAAATTGGTAATAATAAAAGTGGCCCCAGTAACTTTAACTATAAATATAATATTGGACATTAGAAACACCTTCCCAAATAACATTTAGATCAAAAAAGGAAATAAATATTAAAACAATATATTTAATGAAGAAAATAAGAATGTTTCCTACCAAAGAACTTGGTAACAAGTAAAACCTATCCTTAGAGGCAATTCTGTAGGCTTTGATGTCTTTATTATTAAAGAAGAAAGGAAAAAGAGACAAAGTAACTATATATCTTAATTAGAAACAATATGGTGGTAAGGGAAGCAATAAAGAAAACAATTGAAATTAATAAAATGGAAAACCCCCAAATTTGCAGAAGTAAATCCAAAAGCTGATTCTCTGAAAACACCAATAAAACATAATCCTCTTTTTACCCTGATTTTTTAAAAAAGAGGACAAAATTATATAAGATAGAAATGAGAATGGAGGTAATGATGGAAAAGAAAATTCAAATGTTATAAATTACTCAAAAAACTCAAGAGGAACACATTTGAAAACTTAGGAGACATGATTTCCTAATAAAATTGATGTAACAAGTAGAAAACATGAAGGGACTAATTATCATTGAAAATTGGAGATTAAATACCTACTCTAAAAAAGTAGCATGGAGATGATAATTTCATGGTTAAATCTTTTAAGTCCTTTTTAATCTTTAAAGAATGATGGATAATTCAATATTATTTTTTTACTCTTCTAGGGCACAGAAAAAGAAACTCTCTAAATCATTTCATGAAGCCAGCTTTACTGTAACCTGATAAAGGTAATATGAAAAAAAAAAACAAAACCAAAACCCGAAGTTCAAGTTAGCTTAAAATATGTACTCAAAGGAGAATCTAGTACCTTATCAAAGGAATAATTCAAGAAGTTTTATTTCATGAAAGCAAAGTGTTGCAATATTAGGAAATCTATACTTTGTTGAATCAATGATTTAAAAGAGAAAAAACGAATATTGTCCTAATAAATGTGAAGTCACTTGAAAAATTTAAAAACATCATTCTTCGCAAAATAGAATAGAAGGAAATTACTAATTGATAATAAGTTTATAAAAAGGTACAACAGCAAGTAGCGTTCTAAACACTCAGATGTTAAGATATTTCCTTTACAGTAGGTTAAAGAGGTCATGGTGATCACCATTATTATTCAACATTCTTTTGGAGACCAGTGAATGCAAAAGAGAGATACAGTAATCAGTATAATATGTATGAATGTTGGATGATAAGAGATGAAATAAGGCTTTTTTTCTGTTTATATGATTGTACATCTAGAAAATCAAAGGACTTTGGTTAAAAACAACTGAATAAGGGAACTTGATATGGTCTCTGGATATAAGAAAAATAAACAGACCAATAGCCTATTTTCTATCAATACCCAACTAGAAAGGTAAATGAGATAAATATTCCACTTGCAGTCTATCACCAATGCCTCACAGAGGCGACCCCTGATCTGACTTCTATCACTTAAGATTAGTTTTGCCAGCTTTAGAACTTCATAAAAATGGAATCATATATGTCCTTTTATGTATTTGGCTTCTTTGACGCAACATAATGTTTTTGAGATTCATTCATGTGGTTGCATGTAAAGTAAGTTGGTCTTTTTTTATTGCTAAGTCCTCTTTTCATTGTATGGCTGTACCATGGTTTGTCCATTCAGTTGTTGTTGGACATGGGGATTATTTTCAGTTTTTGACTATTGTGAATAAAGCTGCTATGAACATTCTTATTATACAGGTCGTTTTGTGTACACATGTTTTCATTTCTTTTGAGTAAATGTCTAGAAGTGGATTTGTTGAGTCATTTGATAAGTATAAATTTAACTTTATAAGAAAGTGCCAAGCCTTTTTCCCAAGTGATTGTACCATTTTACACTCCCACCAGCATTGTATGTGAGTATTAGTTGCTCCACATCCTTTCTCTCACTTGCAATGTCAGTTTTTTTTTTCTTTCATTTTTTCAATTGAAGTATAGTTGATTTACAATGTTGTGTTACTTTCTGGTGTTCAGCATAGTGATTCAATTGTACATATATATATATTCTTTTTCATTATAGATTATTACAAGGTGTTGAACATAGTTCCCTGTGCTATACAGTGGGACCTAATTGTTTATCTGTTCTGTATACAGTAGTTTGTATCTGCTAACAGTCTTTTTAATAATAGCTGTTCTGATAGGTGTGTAGTGGAATCTTACTGTGGTTTTAATGTTCATTTTCCAGATGATTTATGACATAGAAAATCTGTTCATGTGCTTATTTGTCATTTGCATATTTTAAAAATGAAGTCTTTGCCCTTTTAAAAAGTCAGGTTGTCTTGTTATTGTATTTTAAAGTTTCTTCGTATATTCTGGCTATAAGTCCTCTGTCAGATACATAAATTGTAGATAAGTTCTTTGCATTAGTTGTATCCATCAGAGAGTTGTGGAGATAGGAGTTGATGGAGTTTTTGTTGGGAGAGGGAGCATAATGCCTGTGGAAGATAAAAAGAAGAGAAGCATGAATAGGCAGGGAAAACCACTATAGAGTTGTGCAGGTCTGATCCCTGTAAATAGGAAAGGGAAGGAGGAGGATGTGGGACTGGGCAGAGGGGGCTTCAGATTGGTATGCAGATCTTGCAGAGTCTTGGCCAACATAAAAGGGGGCTCTGGAGCAAAGGGCAAAGAGGAGTCCTGCATTAGGTTCACATGGCCAGGCCTTGGTACCGCTGCCATGCCCAGTATTATTGGCTGGGGGATGCTCTGGAGGAGGATAACCATGTCTGGAAATCTGAGGGGGATCCTGGAGGTACTACCAGCTGGAGGCTGACCGCTATTCTCCTTTGTCAAGAACATGATGATGGTCTTTCAAGGTCCTTTCAAGTGTGTGATTCTATTTTTTTTTCCAAAATAACTTTCCTTTTCTTTTTTAAATGAGCTGTAAATAACAGTGACATCTCCTGCATAAATTTTGGTGTCACAATGTGAACGTACTCAAAATATTTAGTAAACTTATCTTGCAGCGCTGTGTCTCTTACATAAATACTCTCTGATGAGGTCAACCTTTGGGATTCACTCTCTTCTTTTCTTGTTCTTCTGCTTATCGTGGATCCTTGTCTTTTCTTTCAGAGCCTTCAACAATTCTTTTTTATGTCCTTCCATTTCCCATCTCCTGCTAAGTTTCATTCTTTATCTCCGCCTTCCCACACTTTATTTGTGCCGTTTGCAAAGTGCTATTTTGCAGTCGGTATAATAATCTCTGAGAGGGCGCAGACCTTTTCTCAATTCCTCTTCAAAGTTCCTAGCACACTGGCTTTAATCATGAAGTCTCTGGCAAC